CTAAATTGGAAACCTCTAGAAGAAAGACGAAATTATCTTAAATCTATTTTCATCTATAAAGTTCTGAATGGCCACACCGCACCCAATCTTAAAGAAGCATTTCATTTTAATAATGAAAGACATAATAGTTACAATCTTAGAAATTCGGATACTGATTTAGCACCACCTATGCCGAAAAAAGAATTCGGCAAGAGGTGCTTCAGTCATAATGGTGCCTTGCATTGGAATAATCTTCCCCATGAGGCAAAAATTGCTGAATCCCTAAACTCTTTCAAGTCGATATTGAAACAAAGAATGAGTTGAAATTTGCTTGTGTATAATCGTGCAGCTAAAATCAATTGTATTTATTTATTTTGTTATATTTTGTATTTCATGTATATAGTTAACTTTTTGTAAATAGGTAATTTCACGCCCCTCATGGAAACCAGCCTTCCAACGGGTGTTGAGGCTAGCGTGGTCTAAATAAAGTTTTGTATGTATGTATGTATATACATATATATATACATATATATACATACATATATATACATATATATATATATATATATATATATATATATATATATATATATATATATATATATATATATATATATAAATAAGTGCAACGACTCAACAAATTCCACTTGGCATCTTTATTACTATTAGTTTCGTACCACAAGATGTGGCACTCATCAGATAAATTAGCCTAATAGGCTAATTTATTGGAGACATGATAAATATCTCCCTGCTAAAACATTTCATTGACAAACAGCTGCAATAATCAACTACTAAGCTTGAATCAGTGCTCCCATTATGCTTTGCGCGCTTAGAGTTTAAGGTTTTAAAGTTTAAAGTGCCTATGCAACGAATTTTTCACCTCATTTTTTATTGTTTTTCTAAAAAGTACTGCTGGAGTGATGAAGAATGACGTTTACAGTTTCGTCATATCTCATCTCATTCTCAAGTTATCGCACTTTCTATATTTTGAGTTGTGACGTCACAAGTATGAGTTGAGATAATGGCAATAACAAGAAAGTGTGATATCTTGGTGAGATTTAATAAAATTCAATGAAATTTGGTACACTTAGTGGGTGCACTCATATGAATATTTATGGTAGGTCGTGTGGTTGTCATGGCAACACACTAGTCCCCAGTCTCTTCTCTTCCTTTCACAACTTTCCTCCCGTAGACCACTTGCAGACGATGTTTACATAGTATAACTGTATAAACTGATCACAATACCTACACATATTATAGTAATAAGCGAAAATTGTAGAAATTGCTATTTATTTCGTTGAAAATGGATCATATAGAAATTGGAAGAGAATGGACTGGAGACGAGTGTGTTGCCATAACAACCATATAAACAAGCCAAATTGTTGACTTTGTTGCACCCACTAAGTGTACCAAGTTTCATTAAATATAAATACTCACCAAGATATCATACTTTCTTGTTATTGCCATTATCTCAACTCATACTTGTGACGTCACAACTCAAAATATAGAAAGTGCGATAACTTGAGAATGAGATGAGAAACTGTAAATTAAAAGTCATTCTTAATCACTCCAGCAGTACTTTTTAGAAAAACAATAAAAATTGAGGTGAAAATTTCGTT